TCCAAGGTCACCACAACAGTCTACCAGAATGTTTTAGAGGACTTTATGATTCCTTCTGCTGAGGATCTGTATGGAGATGCAGATTTCATCTTCCAGCAGGACCTGGCCCCTGCCCATGCTGCCAGAAGCACCAAAACCTGGTTTGATGTCCATACCACAGTGCTTGACTTTCCAGCCAACTCACTGGACCTAAACCCCACTGAGAAACTATGGAGTATTCTCAAGAGGAAAATGAGGGGCACCAGACCCAACAACAAAGAAGAGCTGACAGCAAGCATCAAGGAAATCTGGGCTTCCATAACTCCCAGAAAATGTCACAGGCTGATTGTCTCAATGCCACGTCACATCGAGGCAGTGATTAAGGCAAAGAGATTCCCAACCAAGTATTGAAGATTGACATATTGTTTTGAAAGTCCCATATTTTGATTGATTTGTTGTGATCCTAATTTCTTTTTTTTTTTTTTTCTGCAAATCCTGAGTAGTGTGGGCTGATGTCTTTACAGTATTCTAATTTTTTGAAATCCTGTTTTCATGAGTTTCATGAGCTGGAAGCCCATATTATGTAAAAATAAACAAATTAAAAAAAAACTTGAAATTGTTTAAATTGTAGGCCCTGAATCTATCATCAATTAAAGATTAACTTTTTGAATGGAATTATGGAAGTTTAAACAACTTTTCCGTGATATTCAAATTTTTTGGAAAGGGTCTGTATGTATATATATATATATGTATATGTACATGCGTGTGTGTGTGTGTATGTATAATAATAATAATCATTTTATTTAAAAAGCGCCTTTCAGGACACCCAAGGACACTTTACAGTAAGAAACATATCAAAAAGATTGTGAAAAAAACAAACAACAAGCACAGTGCAAAGATCAACAGGAATAAACTGAAATATAAAATGCATAAAATCCATACAGCAATGTTAAGGATAAGCGAGTCTAAAGAGATGTGTTTTCAGAGCAGTCTTGAATAGAGAAAAAGAGATGGCGTTTCGTGAGTCAGGGGGTAGAGAGTTCCAGAGATGAGGGGCAGAGCAGGTGAAGGCCCTGCTCCCCATGGTGGAGAGGCGGGCAGAGAGTACATGGAGGTGTAGTGAAGAGGAGGATCTGAGAGAGCGAGAGGGGATGGAGATGTGTAGGAGCTCAGATAGGTAAGGAGGGGCAAGGTTGTGGATAGCTTTGAAAGTGAGAAGAAAAATTTTGAAGACGATGCGTGATTTAACCAGGAGCCAGTGGAGCTGCTGCAGGACTGGAGTGATGTGGTTATAGGAGGAGGTTTGAGTGATGACACGGGCAGCTGAGTTCTGGACCATCTGTAGCTTCTGAAGAGATTTGTTGGGGAGGCCATAAAGAAGGGAGTTGCAGTAGTCAATCCGAGAAGTTACAGGACTGTGCTCAAGGATGGCTGTGGAGCAGGGTGTGAGAGAAGGACGGAGACGGTTAATATTTCGGAGATGGAAATAGGCAGACCGAGTAACATTGTTGATGTGTGAAGTGAAGGAGAGAGTGGTGTTGAGGATGATACCAAGACTCTTGACCTGAGGTGAGGGGGATAGCAGAGAGTTGTTAAGGGGAATGAGAAGATGTTCTGATTTTGAAATGGAGTTTTTGGTACAGACAAGAATGGTTTCTGTTTTGTCACTGTTTAGTTGTAGGAAATTGTTAGAAAACCAATGATTTAGCTCATTGAGACAGTCAGTGAGGATGGAGGGTGGGTGGGTGGAGTTTTGTTTTGTTGACAAGTAGAGCTGTGTGTCATCAGCATAAAAGTGGAAATGGACACCAAATTTGCGGAAGATGTGACTTAGAGGAAGGAGGTAAATGATGAAGAGGAGGGGTCCAAGGACAGAACCTTGGGGGACACCCGTGGAGACGGGGGAAGACTGGGAATGAAAGGATTTAAGCTGAATGAATTGAGTGCGGTCGGAGAGATAAGATTTAAACCAGTCTATATGTATATGCATGTGTGTGTGTGTTCTAGAATTGCACCGCTCAAGGTGGCTGCATGTTGGAGCAGCTCTGTTACTTTCATTCTGAGATTTTGCTTTTGGAAACTTTAATTCCTGGTTTTCTGGATGTAAATTACATTTTTTGGATGATTGTTTCCTCTGGTATCAGATGCTGTGCAGCCGGAAGGATTTTTACTGAGAACTTTTTGGTTTTGGACGTTTGTTATGATGCGTAACCATGGCAACAAGGCAGTTTTCTACAACACCAGCAGCTGATTAACATCTCAAAAGCTCAAATAATATCTCAACTATGGCCCCAACTCTCAGATGAGTTGAAAAGGATGTTCTGTGGATGCATTCTCATCTACCTGCCAGCTGTGCTCGAGTGCCTGACCACTGAGATCCTGGAACTAGCAGGAAACATGGCTCATGACAGCGGAAGGACAGGATCGTCCCTCAGTACCTACAGTTGGCAGTATATATACAGTACAGTATATGTGTGTATGTATGTGTGTGTATATATATATATGTATGTGTGTGTGTGTGTGTGTGTGTGTACAGCCTTATGAGATTTGCGTACTGAGTTCTGTTTTTCATTTACTTTTGTCAGTAAATGGACTGTACTTATCTAGCACCTTTCTATCTTATTTCAAGAAACTCAAAGCGCTTTACTCTACAATCTGTGCCCCATTTACCCATTCATACAGCACTCTACTAGATCTCTACAAAGATAATTGAACAAATCATTCTAAAGAGACTAATCAGAGCTTTATCACATTCATACACTGATGGGACACACATCAGAGTCATGTGAGTGCTGGTGGATTCTAACCCCCAACTCTTGCATTGGAGGATGACTGCTCTAACCACTCAGCCACAGCCGCCCCAGTGTCAACATTGTTTGATTTGTGGTTGTAAAAACCTGAGTAGTTTACTTAATTCTAAAAATTTACAAACATATACTAGAAATGAATGAAGGAGCTTAATTTAATATCAGAACATCACAATAAAGTGTGAAAATTGTCCCTCTGTTCTATTCACTCGTCTCAGAGCTGAATTTTTCTCTTATTTAAGCAACAAGTAGATGAACAGAATATTTCCCAGTTGTTTCACAGTTTCTTGTGACAGGTGTAGAAAGCTTTGGCATTTAAAGTATTGTGTTTATACAACACAGAATACCAACTCACAATTAGTTGGGGTCATACATCACCTAAAAAATGTCTTTGTTACATCCAAACACCGACATGTGTGTGTGCATGTGCACACCAGACGACTGTCGGTGTGAGAACTGTTTGGGGCTGTGAAGTCGCAACGTTATAAAATGTTGCCTCGGGCTGTGACTGGTCAGACCAGAACTTGTGCAACAGATACTCTCCTCACGATGTCTCAGTGGATCCGAAGGCTCCAGTAGTGTACGTGAAAAGGGTGGAGTCCGTCAAAAAGCAAAACTGGTCCAGGAGTTTTTTGATCCTCTGTTTCTGGTTAAATTGACAGGCTAGATGAACTCTTGTGTTTTTCCTCGTGTGAAGTAACTCAGTGAGGCAGCAACAGCTCAGCAGCAGATCCACAGACTGTGCACGATGCAGGTTCACACTGTTGACAACATTTTGTCAAAGGGGATTTTAAAAGTTCTCTCATGGTCTAATTATGATGTCCGACCTGAACGTTGTTCTGGTCAGTCCAGTTTCAGTCTTCATTTTGATCCTTTCACGTTTGTCTCATGGTGACGAAAATACGAACACTTGTGTACAGAGTACACGGCCTTCATTTTTTTTTAAATTGCGTGTTAAAGTACCGTACTCTTCTTAAAATTCCTTTGGTATCTGAAATATTTTCAAACGTTGGCATATTTCAGAAGTTCTTCCTGATGGTGTTCATAAAACATGGTGGAGGGATGTGTCTGAGCATGTTTCAGCAGCAACAGCACAAGATGAAGTGAACACACCCAGAGTACAGTCTGAACGTTTCTTTAGACCAATAACAATGTTTCCATGGGGGGGGGGGGGGGGGGGGGG